TTTCCTTGTGACTTTTTCTTCAACTCATTGTTTTTGTTGGTTTTTATTTTTAGGATTATATTTTTTTTTAGTCATATACTTACGAATTTCCAAATTTCCTTTTTTACTGATTTAAATTTGAATTCTGTTGCATGTGGTGAGGATATTCAAAATTAATTCAGTCTTTTAAATTTTATTAATATTTGTTTTATGACTTAATCCTGGTCTCTCAGAGAAGGTTCTGGAAGGATTTGTATAGTCTACTGTTGTTGGTTAAAGTGTTGAGTACATGTTTGTCAAGTCCAGTTGGCTTATAGTCATACTCAGTCTTTATTTCCTTTTTGATCTTCTCCATCCACTTTTGAAAGTGAAATGTTGAAGTCTGCAACTAGTATTGTATCATTTATTATTAAGTAATTAATCATTAATTATTTCTCCTTTTAATTCTGTCAGATTTCTGCTTTCTCCATTTTAGGGCTTTGCTCTTAAATGCATATATGTTTATATGTTAAGGCTTTTGGTGGATTAACTCTTTTGTCATTATGGAACGTGCTTCTTTTATTGTCAGGTTTATTTTTTCTAAATATTAGGAAATCCATACTGGTTACTTTTTGCAGAGCACTTTTTTCCTGTATTATTTCAATTTAATTGTGCCTATATCCTTGAGAGTACCTCCTGCAGACAGGCTAATGCTCTGCCTTTGGACTGGGTGTGGAATCACTCACCTTTAAGGTAATCATTGGAGGGTCGGATTCTCGTCTGCTGGTTTGCTGTGCATTATCTTCATATTCTGACCTTCTTTGCTCTTTCGCATTACTGTCTTCTTAGTATTTTCTGGTGTACTGTTTAATATTTTTGTCATATCATTTGTTATATAGTACTTGGTTTCTTGACTTGTAAAATCCGTTTTTTATTAATGCCAAGTTAGCTTCCACAGAGTGCAGCATTATGGCTCTCATGTAACTTTGTTCCTCCTCCCATAGAAATTACATCTTTATGTACCACAGTGCTTTGTAATTATCCCTTTATGAAGAAAGGAAGTTGCAAATGAAATCTGTGCTCACCTTGTCTGTGTATTAGCTACCTTTCTCGGCGCTTTTTATTTGATGTGAATTTGAGTTCTTCCCTAGTGTCTTTTTATTCTAACCTGAAGGACTCCCTGAATATTTCTTAGGGCAGGTCCCCTAGAGACAAATGCCCAGTTCTGTGTCTTGGAGTCTGAATTTTCCCTTCCTTCTTGAAGGGTCATTGTCTAGAGAGCGGATGGTTGGTTGACAGTCTGTTCCCACTAGCAGTTTATATAAATCATGCTGCAGCCTTTTGGTCTGAGTAGCTTCTGAGGAGAACTGGTTCCCACTCTTACTAAGAATCCCTCGTACATAATCTGGCTGCTTCCAAGACCCTCTGTTTGTCTTCTGATGATTTGCAATGCGTCCAAGCGAGCTGCTCTGTGAGTTTGTCCTTTTCATTGAGCTTCTCCGCTCTGGCAGCTCATGTCTTTTGTCCAGTTTGGAAACGTTTGGGCTGCTGTCTTTTCAGACGACCTCTCTGCTCCCTCTCACTCTCCCCTACAGACTTTTGTTCTGCGGGTGTTGGTTATTTAAGGTCCCACAGGTCCCTGAGACCCTTCGTTTCCCTTTGATCTTTCTTTTCTCTACTCTTCACATTTGATCATTTCTAATGATACCTCTTCAAGTTTATTATTTTCTCTGCCATTTTTAATCTGCTTTTTGAGATAATGTAGTGCATTTTTCATTACAGTTATGTTTTCCATTTTAGAATTATTCTTTGGTTCTTTTATGTTTTCTCCCCAATTTCTTTAAATTGCTATTTATTTAATCAGGTATCACTCTTATACTTCTCTTCAATTCTTTTAACATTTTGAATAATTAATCTAAAATATTTTCTAGTAATGTCAACATCTGGACATTCTCAGTAGTTTCAGTTGTGTTTCTTCTTTTTGTGTGAGTCAAACTTTTTGTTTCTTTGCATGTCTAGTAATGTTTTGTTACATAATGGACCTTTAAAATAATAGGTAACATAATATAAAAATTATAAAATAAAATATAATACAGCAACTCTAGAAATTAAGCCCTTCTTCTTTCAACCCAGGACTGTAGTTGCTGTTTGTTGTTGCTGGTATTTGTTTCTTTATTCAGTTTCCTAATTCTTTGTTGAGTTTGGCCACCTACATCTGTTTGTTTAACACGGTGGTCAGCTTGGGTACAAACTGTGTTCTCCTTGGAGCAGGAAGGCTCTGGCCCTTGCTGAGGGGCCTGTGTACATCTTGAGGATGCTGTCAGAGGCTTGACAGGCAGATGACAGCGCCACCATAGCCTTCTCTGGCTCCTATGCAGATCCTCAAGGTCAGTAGAGGTGAAAGCTGGAGCTTCCTGAGGCCTTTTCTGAGCCTGCATGTGGCACCAAGCATGTGCTAGTGGCTTCTGATGCCTGGCACGTGATGCCCTTAGACTTTCTCGCCTCAGACAGTGGGGCAGATCCCTGTAAGCCCCCGGCTGGTGGTGTGCTGCTAGTGCACTGTGACCAAGACTCGTGGTCACAGTGACTGTGCAAGTGCTCGTCTCCAAGGTCTGTGCGGCACTGGGAGGGGCAGTGCGCCAGGGCGAAATAAAATGCCACAGTGCTTTGTGTTCTATTGTGTTCCCACCACTTTCTTGAATACACGCTTCTTGGATATGACAAGCTTTGGGCTAATTTCCAGGGTCCTGAGAAAGCTTTGACAATTTTGCAGTGTCCTCATCACTTACATGGAGAAGCATAATTTTGGAGATTTTCACTGTGCTGTGTCCACTCACATCACTTCCCATCCCAGCCTGACTCCAGTCAGTAAACGCCATGCGCAAGCTGGCTTCCTCACTTCTGCCAAGTCACAGCTGGGATTCACACAGTGATTACTGATAGGATTTTCAGCACAAGGAAAGAGAAAAAGAATATAAAGGACAGTAGCCTTTATTTAAGGATGAGGAGAAGCACCCCATGACCAAGGACAGCCGGGGCTCTTCTGATCAGGATGTGGGGTATGAGGACATATATAACCTCTGATCCGGGTTTGCACTTAGGGCAGGCATTGGTGACACGTGAGCAGCTGATTGGGACCTTTTTTTGTGCCACTGTAGAAGAAAAAGGAAGTTGTCATAGGGAAAGAGGGAAATGACCTCAAGGTGAACGTCCCTTGGTCCCGCCTTCCACTGCCATAATATCCTATCTAGGGCAAAATCCTTTCAATTATCACAGCCTCAAGTATGTTATATGCTTATTTCCCAGTAGAATGCTGAGGTGCAGTCACAGCGTGCACTGTCTTACAAATGTCTGCTCTGGGGACGGCTCAGGAGCTGAGGCGCGCAGCTCTCACAGAGCTCCCTGGCTGTCTGGGGTTGGATGGTCTGGGAGGGCTGCAGCCATAAAGAGGGGCAAATCAGCTAATGAGCGTGGCATTCAGAGGCTAATCACTGTTGTGCCCACATTTATTAGTGCTTTGTGTCTTAGAAAAGCCTTTCCTGCCAGGCTGTTGAACTAGGGCTTCACTGCTGCACTTTACATGTGATGACACTGGTCATTAATTTGAACTTGTCAGACTTGGACAGGAATTCAAATACAGTAAACGTTTGCTGCTTATGGGATCCAAGAGACCTTTTCTCAAAAAAAAAAAAAAAAGGCAAAATAAGGTGAAAGTTATTACTTCATTATTCCTAATGTGTCTTCAGGAATTTCTACCTGGCTACTGAAATGTCCTGTTGCCTCTTGGCTCGCCTGGGAGCAATTGCAGGCCAGGGTGTGACTGAAAAGAGCCCCTGCACCCGGCCACTCTGGAGGCAGAGGACCACAGTGAGTCACCTGCCACTCCCAGCTGGTAAACACTGTGCCCATTGTTACCCAGGCTAATTACCAGTCTCTCAAAGAGAGCAAGAGTTGGTGTTGCTGCTGCAAAAACAGTTTATGCTCCACAAGCTCCTCGTTCATGTAATGATTGCAGCATATTTGTCTTAAGTGTTTCGCAAGTGTTCTCTTTAGAGAACGCTGCTGAGATTAAGTTTCTCACTAACATTTATTGCTCAAGGACATCAAACATGATGGATCGAGATTTCTGTGCTTGTCTTCAGCTTCCAGTATCTTTAACCTCTTGCTCTTCTTACTTACACAACAGTCTTCCTGTGAGACGGTGTCTGTTGTTTCTAACACAAATGCCAGAAACCACTGGAGCACCATTTTCGTTTCAGCGCTAAAGGTGTTTTTGTAATGGTGAGGAGGAAGACATGGAGCAGCCACAGCAATGCCAGAAAACAGGGACGGCACCGAGCCTTCCTCCGGGAGCTCTGAGGGAGCTGAGCCTCCTGTTTGTCCTGATCTTCCAGCCTGATGACTGGCAGCGGGCCAGTGCTGGCAAGCAGCGGGCATCACATGGCTCCGGCTCTGCTTTGCAAAAGGTCAGTGGGAAGCACAAGCCCTGGCCCACGCTAAGCGCTGTGTACTCTGATCCTACAACACGTGCTTCAGGACGCATTACGCAATGCTGCCCCCTGATTAATGACTGCTTGCACAAGAAGTTTCTCATTACCCGGCTGCAGGCATCCTGGAAATGATTAACACTGTGACATAATCCTGCCTGTGCAAAGGTAGAGAGCCAAGCGCGACCTCGGAATAAAGTGCTTTGGAAATAATTCAGTGTGCTTTTGGCTTCTTAACATGATGAACTGTTTTGAGGCAACGGGGTGAAACAGAGAAGCCTGCCGGGATTACGTTTTTAGCAACGGGATTTTCCTATGAGATTGGCTGCTGTGGAAGCACTCTTCTGTGCACTCAAGTTACCTTTCATATGTGGTGAGGGCTCGGTGTGTTTTACAGTACCCTTCTGATAAGGCTGTCATTCCCACACAGTGGAAAGTCACGTGGCAACCAAGAGCGCCTGGGTAAGAGAGTGCCTGAAGATGACGTCTCACCTGCGCAGTACAGTCTTCTGTCGATGTCGCTCCCGGCCGGCAGGAAAGACACACGACAAAGTCTGGCAGTGTGCAATCTTGCCTTTATTTATCTCCGCGTGGGCCCCGCGAGGCCTCCTCTCTGCCACCAGCCCTTTCTCGCCGGTGGACTTTCTCTATCTCTCTCTGTGCTTCCTCTGTGCTTCTCTCTCGTGGCGGGAGAGGCATTTACTTTTATAGGGTAACAGTGGCCAATCAGTTCAAAGCGCCCGATGCGGGCTGATTGGCTAACATCAGTTGTTGCTAGGCAGACTATCTTACAGAGCGGGTTGTTTAAGTCGCCAGCGCAATCAGGGGGCAGGAAGCAGGCGCCAACTTGACTCACTCGATGGGAGGGGCAATCTAGCTCAGGCTCCGCTCCCACCCACAGGCCCTACGTCCGCCAAGTAAGGCGACCGGTGTCGGCGGCTCCCAACTTCTCCCCCTATTTTATTTACTTTGAATGAATGTATGCATCGCAGCCCGCCCTGGATCGAGTGCAGAGGCTTATGCCCTGTGTTGAGGCCCACCGTAGGCCCTTGGCTTGGACCCTGGTCGGCCGCCCCCGGGTCTGCCAAGGCCTTGAGACCCTCGTCCTTTTTCCAGGGCCAGGAGTGAACTGGACGGAACCTGGATGCACATAGGCATGCACTCATGCCCCTCCGTGTGATCCCCTCGGAGAGGCATCTAGATCTGGGCAGATTCTAGTAATCCAGCGGCTTTCGTGCGCCATGGGGTAGGGGCCTGGCTTAGGTCGAGTCATGCTGGGGAGGCACGCTCTTACCCGTCATTGACTCACCTACCCTGCTGTGTGGTGTCATTAGGGAAGGAGTGCGGAAGACCCGCCACATCTAGACCCGGTCGTAGGCCAGTGGAGCGAGCCATGCGTAAGCCTGGGGGTCATTGTGCCCATCACGGGCTGCTGCCAGGGCCGCATGGGCAACCAGGCGTACTTGACGCCGGGCCGCCGCAAGGCGCCCATTAATAAATGATGTAACCCATCGGAGCAAGCATGGTCCTACAAGTAAGAGCAGAAGCAAGGAGCACAGGGGACCTAACAATGGTAAAACATAGGGGAGCAAGCCATTCCAGGCTCCCCAAAAAGGGATTGTCCTGCAGTTCTTTTAGGGCTCATCTTGTTGTTGGGTCTGCGGTTGGCCTCTGGTGGAACAGGCCTGATCTTCAGTCGAGGGACTTGTCGCGTCAACCTCTCTGGGACCCACAGTGGTTTTCGTCCCGGTTCCTGTGGAAAAACACAAACCGCGCCTCGGTTCCAGCTAACCACCGGATCCGGGCCCATCCATTGTCATGCCATAGATAACCGCGCCTTTGGAGGCAGGCCTTGGCTTACTCCCCCTTTTTATTTTTTATTTTTTTTTTATTTTTGGTCTTTTTCGTTTTTTTTTTTTTTTTTTATCGGTACCAGGGATCGAACTCGCGATTGCCTGCTTACAAGGCAGGCGCTTATGCCGCTGAGCTAAATCCCCAGCCCCCGTTTCCTCGACCGGCATTTTTCTCAGCCTGCTCGGCAGAGTAGCCGCCCATGAAAATACCGTCCGCCCCGCGGCGCAACGTCATAGGACGGAGGTCGCGACAGAGTGGAACGGGGCGTCACTTCCTGTGCCGGCTGAGAGAAGGGAGGGTTCCCTGTAGCGGCCTCTCAGCGGGGAGCCGCTTCTGGAGAAGAGCTCCAGGGCGGAGCGGATGGCTCTCTATCTCCTCCCCGCCAGAGAGCGCTCGGGGGCCCTTTCTCCTCTCTCTGCTTTTTTCGAGCGGCGCACGCACACAATTCGCGGCGCAACTCGGCATAGGAGTCAAGGCACGCATGTATCATTTCCCACAGGGGGCGAATAGCCGGCGAAATATCGCCTCCCAATTCCGCCGAGGCGAGGTCCCCGCCTAACTTCTCCCATGACGGCAGGTTTAAATGCCCTGTGGGTAAAAACCAGGGAGCCACCCTATCTATCTCTGCTATGAATAGTTTCAGTGTTTTTTGACCTACCCTGAGGTCTCTAGCTTTTAAAAGCTTCCTAAGGGCCTTTACCAAGGGCTGCGCCTCCGCGCTCGGTAAATTACCCATTCTCAACCTCTAAGGGCTGTAACTCACCGCGTGTGACTTAAAGAACTCGTCACCTACGCGTGAGCCTGAGGGGAGTCTAAAAGCCCTGTAGGTGCGCGCCACCCAAAGCCCAGGCTTATCCCCAACTCACCTGTCCGGCAGCACCACGCTGGAGCGTTGCACACCACCGCCGTGTCTCGGGGTTGATCAGTCCCCGTGCGGGTCACCAAATGTCGGGGTCGCTCCCGGCCGGCAGGAAAGACACACGACAAAGTCTGGCGGTGTGCAACCTTGCCTTTATTTATCTCCGCGTGGGCCCCGCGAGGCCTCCACTCTGCCACCAGCCCTTTCTCGCCGGTGGACTTTTTCTATCTCTCTCTGTGCTTTCTCTGTGCTTCCTGTCTCGTGGCGGGAGAGGCATTTACTTTTATAGGGTAACAGTGGCCAATCAGTTCAAAGCGCCCGATGCGGGCTGATTGGCTAACATCAGTTGTTGCTAGGCAGACTATCTTACAGAGCGGGTTGTTTAAGTCGCCAGCGCAATCAGGGGGCAGGAAGCAGGCACCAACTTGACTCACTCGATGGGAGGGGCAATCTAGCTCAGGCTCCGCTCCCACCCACAGGCCCTACGTCCGCCAAGTAAGGCGACCGGTGTCGGCGGCTCCCAACAGTCTTCTATGCTGAAGGCTTTGGACTCTGCTGCAAGTGGCAGGTCCCCAGCACATAAGCACAGGAGCATCGTCCTCGGGGACAGTGGACCCAGAGTCTCTGGGCTGCAAGGGCACCTCTATGTTCCATCACCGGCAGCCTGCTGCTCACTGTCCTCCAGGCCTGTCCCTGTGGAGCAGCTCCGCCCCTTGGCAACTTGCAGCCCTGTGTGCACCCCGGAGGGCGCACATGCAGCAGATGGGCGCACTCTGCGGCTTCCAGGAGGAGCTGACTGGGCTGCAGAGCAGCAGCAGGAGAGCAGCAACTCCATGCCTGCTAGGAGATTGAGGACCGATGCCCGTGTGCAGCTCTTCTGGTTCAGGGAACCCAGAGCTGACTCGAGATTCGGATGCATTTCTGTGTTCCTTAGTGAACTCAGCATGGCCAGAACCCCAGTGCATGGCTGATGACCCCAGAAAACCACCCAGCTCTTGGTGGTTTTATCCCCATTATCACTGACAGAGTCCCCTTGTCTGGCTCAGCCACACCACCCTTCCTGATGCCGGGGGCTGTGGTGTCCAGAGTGCCACTGTCATCATTTGAGCCACGCTATTTATCACTGTGTGTGCTTTCTCAGGAGAGGCCTCGGGCCCAGCTCTGCTTGTACTGGACTCTCACAGCTCTCAGAAAAGTGGAAGCCAAGTCTGTCTGATGCTCACGAAGCTCTTTTGCCTTTTTCTGCCGCAAGACGACCAGAATCCTAAATATGGATTCTGAAGAGGAGGACAAGAGGTGGTTTTCTCTCTTCTGAGCAATTGCATGACACAGAAGCTGTTTAAGATGGGGTCATCTGCAGAGGGGCCCTGTGTTTCTGTGAGGAGGAAGATGAAGCGGAGGGGGGAAGACACAGGAATTTACTCACCTGCACTGTTTTTGAGCCCTCCGCCGCCCTCCTTCCTTCCTCAGAGCAGACCTTTACAGTGACCTTGTTTCTCAGAGCTTCCGATGCTCCGCTAGTGGCCACCCTAGACAGGGCTACGAAGGGCTGGGCATGATGCCATGTGGCATTCGGGCAACACCCTGTCCGAGGCCCTTGCTTTCTGCCTCCCCCGGCACCTTTGCGCATGTTGAGCTCCAGTGCTCGGCTGAGCCTGGGGGAGCACGGCCTCTTGCACCGGGCTCCACTGAAAGCCCGAGATGGGTAAAATGTGGACTTGTGGGCCATCCTGGGGACCCAGTTCCACCCCAGCAGCTGGCGCAGGCACAGAGCAGGAGCAGCTGGTCCTCCACAGCCACGCTGCCTGCCTATGTGTGTACAACCCTGACGAGTACAGAGCTGCTTCCTGGAAGGGGGCAGAAGAGAAGCCACTGGCCACGCTCAGATTTTGGATGAGCTCCACTGTGGCTGCAGAGCCCTGTGTCATGATTTCACTCAGATTTCATCTGTTTCCCCAAGGAGGGTTGCACGTGTGCACGCGCATGTGTGTGCACATGTGTAGACGTGTGCATGGTGTCTTTTGGTACTTGTTTTAAAAAACGCACAGCCGAGAACAGGAGCTCCTGTGTCCCTGGTTGTCCTCAGGCCCCATCTCTGCACTGGCCTCTACCCGCAGAGGGACTGCGTGCTGCCGGACAGGCTTGTCATCCACACTACAGAACCCCAAATACTCGTCACAGTGGTTTCAACTGCAGCCTCCCTTGAAGACTCTTCCAACATGTGAGAGAAAGGTGGTTTCTGAGATCCTGGTCCCTCAAGACAGGAAGCACAAGACGTTAACAGTGCAGCAAGGAGCCTGGCCAGGAGGCCAGCTGGGGTCCCCATCCTGCCCTGCCTGCAGGGCCATGGCCCTGGGAGGCCCCGACAGCAGCCTGCTCTGCTTGGGGTGCGGGCGGGCGCTGCCCGGCAGCCTGTTACTCACAGCAGCTTCCCATCCCGGTGGCTTTCAGGCCCAACCCCTGCCTTTCCATAGAAAAGCGTGAGTCACCACTGCCCACCGCTGCAAGGGAGGGCGCCCTTCCCAGAAGGGGCAGGGCCTTTTTATAGCTTTCTGAGTAGGCTTTCTTTTCCATAGGTTAATTTTTATCTTAACAGCCCAGATAGGGTTGGATGGCCTTTTAAAAAGAAATCTGTTTAAATACAGGGGATTATTTGAACTGCGTTGTTAAAAGTCAAGGGCATCTGTGGGCCTCTCTGTGTATTAATAGCCCTTTAGCAGGAGTTAATGTGACTGCCCTGTTCTGGGTGCCCTTCCCCCGAACCCTGCTTCTAGAAACTGAGAGCACCCACTCTCTGGGAGGCTTCCGGGGGCTTCAGGGGTTGCCATGATGAGGGAGGGGAGCCGGGCCCTCGTGCTCAGGCAGCCGAGCTCTGCGGCCGCTGCTATTTGGGTTTCCTGACTTAGGAAAACAGTCTAAAAATAGACCTGAATGAGCATAACCTGCAAAAATAAGTTGTCAGCTTCTTTTTTACTCCTACTGGGTTGAAAACAAAGCTGTCAGCGATTTCTGCGGGTTGAGAAATCTGTGTATGTTCTTATTTTAGAGAAAGCGTCTTCAGGGGACTGTAATTGAGTCCCCTGTGTCTCAGTGTGGACAGAGCACCATGTGCTGTTCTGGAGGTTCCCAGACTGGAGGCCTCTGCCGCCTGCTCCGAGTGCTGTCCAGACTCTAGGCCTTTCTCAAGGAGCTGCTGCTGAGCGGGGGCGGATGGGGCTGGAGCAGGGGTGACAGGAGGCAGGCAAGCCCCGCACTTAGCGTAGGTGGCCACAGCCAGAGCTCTGGGCTGTGAAGAAATGCAAGAAGAGCTCGGCCTTCTCGGCCAGGGAATTGGCGCCCTGCTCCGAGAGGTAAACTGTTCTTGGACAGATATGACCATTAGCAGCTGCATCTGCACTAATCCTGTGCAGAATTCTTTCTTGTTGTTGTTTGCTGAACTGTATAGCAACTGCTGGCCTAGGACGTACCTTGAGTGCTGTAAGCAACCTAGAGAAGAAATCACCAGGGGATGTGCTAGACTTCATGCAAATATGATGCTGTTTCATATAAAGAGGCTGGGAGTGGGTCCCTGTGGACACCGAGGAGTGGCAGGGTGGGACACAGGCTTTGCGGCAGGAGTGGTTGTACAGAGAGCAGTGCACTGTGGTCCTGCCTCATGGGTCAGCAGTGAACTGGGGAAGGACTCTACCTGGTAAGGCGGCTGGCAGACCACAGAGCCTGTAGGGAGCCAGGCCCTTGTGCAATTCAGGCACAGAAAGCCAGAGGGGCGGGGGCTGCAGGCTTCTGAGGCAAGAATAGCACTCATCGAGGTCATGGACTCCATACTCTGTGCCCCCGGAGACCAAATTCTGACCGTGTCAGCCTGGACAAGCCCTGCTCCCTTGGGGTCCCTGGAGCGTCCAGTGTGCTCCAGCCGTGGTGCTGGCCCTGCCTGCAGAAGCAGGGAACGGACCCAGTGCCTTGAACTTGGAAGCACCACGTCCCCCAGGAACTCCTAGGCTGCCTGCCCCAGAGCCCCCGTCATCTTTCTCCATCCCCAGCTTCTCAGGAACACCTCCCAGCTCCCACCGCAGCACACATGCACACACACGTGCACACATGTACACACGTGCACACACAAGGCACTAGGCGAGGAAACGGCTTCCTCCCGGTTTGGGGATGGCAAGACCCCAAGGACACAGAGAAAGGAAAAGGGTAGGCACAGAGCCTGAGGAGCCCTTTGGATCCAGATGGGGCCAGCCAGGGTCTAGAGGAACCCAGTGACTGCTCTGTTGGGTCATCCGGGAGGCCAGTGGCAGAGGGGGACCAGGCCAAGCCCACTGCCCACTGCAGTTGGTGACACTTGACTTTCCAGTCTTGTGGGAGACCACCTCCAACTACTCGACACCTAGAACTATGCCAAGATAATTTAGTAATCACACAGCCCTGATGCCAGCATCACACATTCCAGATCCAAGCACCTCTGAACCCCCCCCGCCCCGTGGCCCCAGGAGGCTTTGGCAGAACATCTAGACACAGCCAGAACAACAGCATAGCAGCCCAAAGCTTTCGTGTGCTGGTGAATTTAACCATTTGTGAAAGGTCCCCCGGTGAAGCACAGCGCCACTGAGAGCCCCTGAGAGGGCTAAGTTAGGAATGGAGCCCACACTCCACTGTCCCAACTGTGCACACCCTACAAAGCAGATGTGTGAGGAGGAGCAGCCCTGGTTCCAGGGACGCAGTCTCTGCACCCCACCTGCGGCAGTGACCTCGTATAGGGCCTCTGACCCAGGCCCTAGGCCAAATGCATGTCACAGATCCAGAGGTTATAAAACATTTCTAGATAATGTAAAAGGATGTCACCAACAGGTGTAGTCCCACACACGTCATCTCCAGAGCAAATAAAACTTTAAAAAGGAATCAAAGGGTCATAGTGCTTTAAAAGTGAATCCTAGGAAGAATAACTGTGTCAGTTGGCTTTTCATCACTGTGACGAAATAACCGAGTATAACAATTTGAAGGAAAGAAGGGTTTGCTGTGTTCCTGGTGTCGGAGGCTCAGGCCACGGTCAGCTGACTCCATTACTTTAGACAGGGAAAGAAGGCAGTGGGAATGGGAACAGAAGAAAGCTGTTCACCTGGACCATGGGACAAGGCGTATCCCCAAAGGTCAGAGCCCTCAGATTCCGAGGACCCCACTCTGACATTTCTGTTGGAGAGCAAGCCTTCAACGTGGGAGCTACTGGGGCACAGGCGAATTTATGATCCAAACCCATGGGCACACCGGGATGAACAAGTCCCTGGCCCAGCTGATTTTGCCGGGCTGGGACAGGGAACTGCTGGCCACCTCCAGGACTGTTTCTGAGAGGAGGTCTGGTGGTATAGAGAGGCACCAGGGGACAAAGCAGAACACACTTCTGGGGTCCAGTGTGTGGTGTTAGAGGTGGGCAGGCCTCTGGAGGAGGCCCAGGAGGGGCTTTTGGGTCACGGAGTGCTGACCCTGGAAGAACAAAGGGCAGACCTAGAGTTTGCTCTCTATAGAGTGAGTCCTAGGGGGACAAGCTGGCTCCCCCCTTTCTGGGTCCTGTACCTGCCTGTGGTCTCTCCTGGAGTGGTGCCACCGTGAGGCCACCTGCCGTGGTATGGGGAGCCAGGCAGCATGTCCAGAGTGGGCAGTGCACTGTCCCAATCAGCCTCCAGAGATGTGTGCTGAACAAACCTCCCTCCTGCGAACATCACCCACTCCCAGGAGCTTTGCTGTAGCCACGGAGAGTGGCCTGAGTGCACGGTCACCTTCCATGTGCAGGCCCCTTCCGCCCTGTGGATCCTCATCTGTCCCCATGCCTGGGGCACAGAAGAGCTCCCCACATTTCAGTTGCTGCTGTGTAGCAGTCCATCCCCACATCGGACCCTCAGACAGCAGTGTCCCCTGCTCTGGCTCTGGGCGGCAAAATGTGGAAAGGGCTCAGTGGGGCAGTTCCTCTGCGCTTGGTGTAAGCTGGGTTGCTCTGTGACCGCCCTCCCTGAGGTCACCCTGGGGTGCCCCGGTGACCCTCTGATGGTGTGCTCCTTATGTCCTGGTGTCTTTGCAGTATGGTGGCCGAGATGTAGTCAGGAGAACAAAGATGCTCAGTCATTGGGGTCTGGGCTAGGAACCCAAAGTCCATGTCCATTGGTTAGAGTGGAGAGGAAGCAAACGCCATGCTGTGTAGGTGCAGGCAGGATGTGCAGACAAAGCTGCTGGTGCCAGGTGTTTAGTGGGCACCCTGCACACAGAAGCTGCCTACACTGCTGTGACTGTCAGCCATTCACGGACACACACCATGTGGGTCCCCAGGGAACCAAGCTGAAGGCCTCCCAAGGGCAGGGCATAGCAGACCCCGAGTGCAGGGTCCAAAACTCAGCCACCTGCTCCCACCCTAGTGAGTATCAGGGCTAGGCTGGCTCTGCCCACAGCTGTCCCCCTGGGTCAGCTCGGCAGTGTGGACTCCTCTTAGTGGGCCAGCTCCTCCGGGCTGTGTCCTG